GTGCGTTCCTCTAAGTCTTCCTACCAATATGACCAAGTTGCGAAAACAAGGTGAAACCACCTCTATACAATGAAAGAAGACTGCGACCACACGAAAGGCCACACCATCTTGGTCTTCATTCTTGGTTTTAGTGTACCGAGAAGATAATTAACAAGAAATCTAACCATACGTTCATTGTAGATATGAAGCGTAATTGGGCTTAGATGAATCTCTTGAGATAACATTATTCTTGGAACTTTACTTTCGTATGAAAGTCCCAACACTAATTGGATTTTCCCACAACTATATGATTAGTCCTGAGAATTTCACTCAAGCTTACCTCTCGACTGGACTGGATTGCAGTTTTAACCTAGTCTTGGTATCATCAGAACCCCACCGGGACTCGAACTCAAACCGTACAACATATAATTTCTACATGTCAGAAATACACCAAATTGCCACGGAGGCCTTTGGGTCACAATGCAGACTCGAAATGAAGCAAAGGCCAGGACTCTCCTATAACACATTTATAGTTGGATCATCGGAGGAGCAAAATTATATACTTCGTTTATAAGTAGGTATTCAAGACTAATAGTAGATCATATATACGAGATCTATCCACCCTATTTAGTTAAGGTTATCAAAGGCTAGTAGTGGAATCTTTCTACAATCATGTAATTAGACTCTAAATTTCCAGGTTAAGGTGGAGTGCAATTTCGACATCGTCTTGATAGCGACTCAAATCGTGACAGTGTTTAACGTGACGAGTTTGTACGCTTCACCGCAAAAACCCCGGTTCGAGTCCCGCTGGGGGTGTTGATGAGACCAGTTTAGGCGAAGTCTAAATTGCAGCCTACTTCAATCAGCATGGTGATACCTTTTTGGAAAGCAAGCCTGTGGGGAATTCATTGGAAGGGTAAGAAGGGCTACTTATAACATTGTTAGAAAATGCAACTAACAGTATTTCATTAGCTCATAAAATTGTATTTCGTTAAGGAGTAGAGTGTCACCAAGGAGAGATTTCAGTTTTAAAACAAAACAGATCTCCAAACTTTTTCTTATTTAGTCATATTCATAAAGGATAGATTTTATGACTGTCAGTCAATTGTAATTCGAGTTTAGATGCAAAATGAAACCGACAATCCCACTATAAATGTGGTGTAGGAGAGTCCTGGCACACACCACTGGCTGTGTGTTTCACCGGAGGTGCTGATAAGACCAGTTCAGGCGAAGCCAAAACTGCCCTCCAGTCCAGCCAGGAGATGAAGACTTTTAGGAAAAGTAAAATTCAGTATTATCGTGCTGCCATTTCACATAACTGTGGGAAAATTCAACTAGCAATCCTCCATCATCACATGTGATCTAGAATGTTTGTAATTCATATCGGAAACTTGTTGATAGTCTTTAAACTGACTTGATATGAGGAAATTTTCGTTCATTTTGCCCATGTTTTTTTCACATTTGGTCAATGTTCAACTTCATCTTATGCCTAAAATAGCTCAAGTTTCTGGACTGGCTACTGAGTTAAATGGATGCACTCACGCCGCCTTTTCAGTGTTGTTGGATTTAGCCTCCACTTCCGTGATCGCGAGTATCCCGTCCACTGGAGCCGGAGCCTGTTCACCGAGTTCGGCTGCCCTGCCCCCGGTCGGCAGAAAAGATTTTGCTGCGCCCTCTCTGAGGCTCGTCAATGCATTGGTCAAATTGCATTGTTCACTTTTACTTGACAGTATCGCTTTCAACTGGTAGGATCGTTGTTCCGGCCGGGCGGGCAGACGAGTGCAAATCTGCCGCATCTCAGACTGATCCGGCTGGTCCAGTCGGCTGGAGTCGTCGTGATGGAGTGAACTAAATGAATACATCAACTGACCACTATTGCTGGGTACCAACAAGAGGTTATCTTCCGGCACTGGCGGCGGCACCTGCAGAAAGAAGACGAATACTTGCTTTATTTTCAAAAAGAGTGAGCAGGCTAAAGCATAGAAACGACAAAGTTGGCAAAAGGTCAAAGGAAACTTTCAATCAAAATTGTAATTATTTTCGTTTTGTAGGTGACAACTAGTAGATTATATATAGTTGAAATGTATTCACTATAGTTCCTTTAAGGTTAAATAAGTAATATGAGATGTATTCACCATTGTGGCATAATTATATTAGCGCATATTGCTGTTGACCTGGTTGAAATGCCGACTGTTGATGCCCTTGTTTACTATTTTTCATTAACCCTCTTTTCATGTCTAGTTTAGATTAAACTTCATTTGATGCCTTGCGTTTTATTATATGCTTAGTTTAATCTGATTGTATTTTCGATTTGTGTATTTGTGGGTTTATGGGTTCTTTTTGATAAAAGATTCAATTTACTTCATTCTTCTATGTCGACGCTTATCATCGTTAGCGTTTTTAAGTATTGTTTTATTGGAAAGATATAAACTGAATGTTTCATTCCAATTGTGGTGCCGATTGAAAGGTATGTTTTTTAATTTTTCTAATCAAGTATTGTTTTCGTGACTACCAGTAAATCAGTAATATGAGATTAGTCACCCAATTTCGTTCCCACTCATATCATTGTGGGAAAATTCTTCGTCTACCAGTCCTTCATCACCTTAAACGAAATTTGGTAAATACATCTCATATGTTTTTAATGTCATAAGTAGAAGTTTTTAATCTATTTCTCTCCTATAATTTAGTAGTACTTTCCTGCACAAATTTATTAGTTGTTTGTTTCTAGAATTATTCCTTTGTTATAAGTGCTTTCTTCTTAAGTTTCTTGGTAATAGTTAGCATTTCCCGCTTTAGTGTTAATCATAATATCTATCTTTCATGTAGAGGGGGCATATTATGCAATTTTTATTCTATTTTATGATGAGTAATCTTTCATTTCTCGTTCAATTTGTATTGCTACTTTGGTACAATCAGCATACTTGCTTCCTGTACTACTCGATTCCTCACTATTCCATTGGTTGAAGTGATTTTTCAAGAATTAAGGACATCCTTGAAACCTACTCGCATCGAGTATATGCATTGTCCATTCGCCTATTCGGGTAGACAATTGTGCATTTGTCTCTTTAAGTCGCACAAGACCGAGATCTCATCAATATTGGTCATAGCTATACTACTTTTTGTATGTAAGTAGAGTTTCGAAACTACACGTAAACAAGTTATTACCCAAGTTCGCCTAAGGGGATGAAGGACTGGTAGTAAAATTTTCCCACAATGATATGACTAGAGCTGATCCATTCAATTTCACATAACCTTGCTTGTCCAAAAGTTGTTCTCATCCAGAATGGCCGAAACTGCAGTCGACTGGTGCCTGGATGAGAACAACTTTTGGGAAAGCATGGTAATGTGAAATTGAATGGCAATGTCAGCTCAACTCATATGATTGTGGAAAAATTCTTCTTCTACCAGTCCTTT